AACGAACAGACAGATGCACGTGACACTATTGATCAACGGCAGACGTAAAAACAGAGTGTCCTCCGTTACGCTTCGGACAATAAAAACCTAATAACAGATTTTTTTGAACAGTAATCATATAAAATCGTAATGATGATCGGATTGTAAAAAAAAAAACAATAGGATTCACAAAGATTCAAAGAATGTGAATTCATCCGTTAAATTTACTTTGTTTCATAAAAAGTTAAACTGCCCAAGCTTTTAAAAGAAATATTTTAAAACGTATAAAAAAAAATGATTTATCAATTGTGTAACTATATCGGAATAATCTACGAATTTGAATGGTCGCTTCTGTTGGATTGGTCTGGAGTAAAACCCGGGTTGCTCCATATTAAATGGTCTGGAGCAAATTTATTCTTATGACCCGGAGCATTAACCCGGAGCACCAACCTGGAATACAACTTGGAGTGTTAATCACTACCTGTATTGCTATATCTCAAAAATGGAACTAAGACATAAAGGTTAGATATACTAGGCAAAAATGGTTAGAACCTTTAAAAACTTTGTATAACCTAAATTTAGGCTATTATGTCTATGGTCCTAAAATGTATCCTAACCCTAGATTTTAACAAAAACATACGTATAACCAGTAATGAATACCACTGGTAGTACGTAGTAATATCTTTTATATATAGTACGTATAAATAAACCAAATCCCAAAACAGAAATCCAGAGTACAACTCATGAGAAACCCCAAAGTCGTGGATAATTCAAAAGCAAAAAAAAAAAAAATCCTCTATAAAAAACTATATAGTGTATTTTTAAGAGCCTTTTTATAAAATGAGTGCGTGAGAGTGAAAATCAGGAAATACATTTAATGATTTATTATGATTGGTTACGGGTTTTCACTCAAATGAGTGTCAGCATAAGAAAACATACATATTTAAATATAGGTTATACTTAAATAACTATTTTTTGGCGGCATTCAAATTGTGTGATTCACATGATTTTTCTCAGACATATGACGCACCCCGAATGCAGGAGCACAAGATCTAGGTTCTAATGGTTATTAATGATTGTTTAATGTTTATAAATATCAAGGGGAAATAAACAATGAGAAATGTAAAGAATAAGAGTAGGATCGGCTAATTTTCTTATGTTAACATACGTACGTACATACGGTCGCCCGCAGAAGTAGCGACCGACTATTCTATAGATTATAGATTTATATAGAGAAAATCAGGCCACATTTATCGTTATTTGTAAATCATTCGAAATAAGTACAGTTTTATGTTTAGGTTGGCGTAATATTTTTCGGGTTGGTACTGCGAATAAATTAAAAGAATGATTTTTGGTTTAGCATTAGCATGCATACAGATTTGGTATATATCTAAAATTTGATAAGACGGGATTTATTCTTTCTTCTTTTCCTCTAAATTATGCGATTCCCATACGCCCTGCAGATTTAATAGAATAGGTTCATTTAAAATTTATTTTTTATTCTGTTTTTACAATGTACATTTATTTCATATTTAATATAGGAAACACATTTTTTGATTGGCCTGTTACGTCATCGTTATGGCTAGTCTCTAGAAAATAATTAACCGAAATTAATTTGACGTGCTATAAAGCTACGGAATGTATTAATTGAATGATCTGAACATCATCACTGTTCTTTTTAGAGATGTTAATTGGTACTTTGGGATCCTTTTAAAGATCGTTAAGGATTCTATAGATTCAATTCAGAATCTGATATAAATCCTATAAAGTATCTTGTATTGCCATTATGTTTTCATGTGACTTAAGGATCGGACTCGCAATTTAACATCCCTAGTTCTTTTAAAACAAGTAATTTTACAGGAGCATCTGAAATTGCGATTAATGATTCGTAGAATAATAGCACAATTCTGAATCGCTATGTCACACAATGGAAAAAAAATTAGGCATTTCCGCTAACGTTAAGAGTAGTAGTTCATAGAAAATTAATTCATATTAAATGGTATTAAATGAATAGTACTGGTATAACTAGATGATGGTTTGCATCTTTATTACTATCATGTGAACTTTGCATAAACTGCATAAACATGAATGCATATCAAAAGTTTTTAGTAAACCAATAACTAATGCATCGAGTGGATCAAGTATTTTTAAGGAACAATATTTTTCAAGTTGCTGGCATTTCACAAGATATCTGATCTGCACAATAAAGTATTAAGCTATTATTAGATATTCATTAGTAATTGTCTCTTATGGTGCAGTAAGTATGCGAATTGTGTTTGTATTTCCAAAACCTAGAACAAACATATGAATACAAATTTAAGGATCATATACACAAATAAAACAGTATGAAATAAATTCAAACACGCACCATATTTCCAGCCTTGAATGGCAATAATCGGATCACCACTTGAAAGTATCCTAATGATTGGATTATTTAGAAATAAGATTACACCAAAAACACGTTAATTCGAAGTAACATTAAAGAAAGAAGCTACATACTTTTGTGCAACAGCATTATTCATCCCCCATCGAATTCTATCTTCAACATCTTCCTGCCAACGTAATTCATCTAAGTCATCTCTAGGCTTTTCATATATGAAAGGATAACAACCTCGGTAAAGATGAATTTGCCTTGCAGTTTGGGCATTTCTCGTGACAGTAACAATCGGACAACGAGGCCTATATTTAGAGATGAAACGTGCCGTATTTCCTGACGTGGATAAAACAAGAATGCAACCTGCATGTGTTTCATTTGCGGCGGTAACAGCAGCACAAGCAACAGCTTCAGCAGTTTGCAATGGTAAAGGAGTGAGAGCACGCAGCTGATTAAAGAGAGGAGGATAACAAATAACAGATTCAGCAACGATACATGTTTCATGCATCATTTTTACTGAAAAGAATAAATTTAATTTCAGATATATAATTTAGAATTTTTTTAATGATAGACAAATAAAGACGAATAATATTTTACCTGCTTCGATAGGATAAGATCCTTTCGCAGTCTCCCCAGATAACATTACACAATCTGCACCATCCAATACAGCATTGGCAACGTCACTAACTTCAGCACGTGTCGGTCTTGGGTTGAACTACATAATTTCATCTGCTAAGTAAGAAATCAAAATGTTTTTATGATCAATAATCAAAAACTTACTGTCATAGACTCCAACATTTGTGTTGCACTAATTAAAAGAATTAAAATAATTTTTTAAGCACATAAATCATGACACAAAAAAAGATTAGGTGTAAAACGTACCATACTACCGGTTTACCGGCAAGATTGCATTTAGCAATAATCATTTTCTGTGCAACGAAAACTTGAGATGCAGGAATCTCGATACCAAGATCACCACGGGCGACCATAATACCATCAGCTTCCTTTAAAATTTCATCAAAATTATTGACACCTTGTTGATTTTCGATCTTTGCAATAATTTTGATTCCACTTCCTTTTTCACCAAGAATTTGTCGAATATTTATAATATCTTGACCTTGACGAATAAAAGAAGCGAAAACCATATCTACATTATTTTCTAAACCAAATAACAAGTCATTTTTGTCTTTTTCGGATACAGCTGGTAAATCCACGTCTGTTTCAGGTAAGTTCACACCCTTTTTGCTACAAAGTTTTCCGTTATTGATGGCACGAACTTTGACAGAATCATCATGAACCTCTAATACTTGAAATGAAAGAACACCATCATCCACATATATATTTTTTCCTACTTCGATAACTTTAGTTATATTCTTGTAATCAATATACATCACATTCAAATCACAAATCTCTGCATATTTTTCATCCGTGCTGAAAATCATCTCATGGCCAGCGCTGATTGGAAGCTATCGAGACAAATGGAAAAATGGACAAAGAAGTTAAAAACAAATCATGATCTTGTATAAAAGAGTTATAACACATACCTCGACGTTGTCACGCATGAGACCCGTCCGGATTTCAGGCCCTTTCTGTAAAATTAATAATATTAATTACTAATGATTAATATGGTGATGATAAAAATCGATTGATTGTTTAAAAGTTTAAATGAATATTACTGTGTCAAGAGCAATCGCAACAGGTCGACCGGGATATACTATTTAACAAATCGACCTCAATTAGTATAGCATACAAAGATAAAAAAATAAAAAATAAAAAGAATAGTAACGTACATCGAGCATTTTCACGCGTATTATCGATGACAGATTGATGATACTAAGTTAATATTTTAATAATAAGTTAATAAGTCTCTGAAAAGTATTACATTAGAGAAAATTTGATCACAAACCTCATAAGAACCGTGAGAAAAATTCATACGGACAATATTCATGCCTGCATTACGCAAAGCGGCAATCATTTCTAAACTATTAGTTTTAGGACCTTTAAATAAAGATAGGATCGATAAATAAAATACATTATCAAATCAAGGTCGAATGAATTTCGAACCTACCAATAGTACAAATTATAGACGTCTTTCTAATGTTTTTGGCTGGGATACCCACTTTCAAAGAGGTTATCCATTCCATCTGAGTTTTGATTTTGTCAGAATACATGGTGAGTTTTAACAAGAGTATGATTCAAATTTACAAAGATTCAAAAAAAAAAAAAAAAATCATTAAATAAAATAAATAACGATTCTTAAAAATTTAAGAATGTATACGTATTAAGGTATTAAGGTTATTTATACGTATCAGTTTCGGTATATATAGATATCGATAACAAATTTTCCCTTAAATTTGTTATGTTTGTTCACAAGATTTTACACGTGCATGTAAATCACTAACAAAAGATGAAATTATCGGTATTCTTTATGTAAAGATTATCAAATATTGCATTTATCAAGATCATGCTAACTGTAAAACAGTACGTAACAGTATGACAAGTTTATATAATAAAGAAAGATAAGAATGAAGACTGATAACAAATTTGGGTATCAAATACATTTATGATTATAAACAAGATTTATTTTTCAATTTTGCTACGCCACGTTACCAAACAAAATTAAATTCATTTCTTTTTTTAATATCTATTACCAATATGAACCCAAATTATTGTAACCAATAACTTTGGCATGAGGGCGTTGAGGAAGAAGGGGATTCCCTTTTTCAGAGGTACGAAATGCTAAAGCAAGAATTGCTAGAATGAAAGGAAATGATATTGCTTGAAGGATTAAAGGTACCCACATGTGATCAAAGAATAAGATAGAAAGAACCCAAAAAATCGATAAGGCCACAAAAACCCAAGAAAGAATGATGGAAGCCTTATATAGTATAGAGATGAATAAATAGATGAGTAAATAGCGAACGTATCGGTATCGTCCGGAATATGTAGTATTCGGTTGAAATTATATTTCGCCAGAGTGAAATAATTTTGTTAGGACGAAATGGATTGCAACAACACGTAATATGTAATAGTCGAGACGAAATATTTCAGTTAGACTGCAACACTAAAAATATGCTTACCGCGGTCGCGCCGTAACCCGCTTGAGTCATCTAGAAACAAAAAGGATTTTAAAAAGATAATATTCTAGTGGAATAAAAACCATGCGAGACTTACAATAGTCGCGATAATAAGCATCAACAAAGAATCCCTTGCAGCATTTGTTGCTTTTGCATAACGATTATCCTTTAACAAAATCACGTGTCAATTGTATACCGACTATATAGACTAACACTAGTAATTAGATTACCATTTGGTCCGCAGTCGCAAAATCCTGTGTCGTAATAGGTGCGACGTTGGGTTCAAGTCTTAGATTAGATGGAAGAATGTGTCTTTTACGAATAAATTCAGAAAACAACAATAATGTCACCCAGATGATTAAGTGCACGAAAACTGCAACATAAGTTCCTAAATATACAAATTTATTAGAAAAGAACTACTTGAAATATGAGAAATGTTTAATACTTTTTTTTGATTACATTGTTAGTAAAAACTTACCCTCAAGATATTTATTTTCAAAACCAACTTTATCTGTAAATGTGCCCATCTTTTATCACTTTTATAAAACTTTTAGAAAATTTTAATCAAAACTTTTGTGAGTTCGAAAGTGAAATTGTTTCTTTAGGAAGGAAAGCCACAAACCCAAGATTTATCGAAAATGTTTCCTCTTATATAATGTTGAGTAAGAAATATTTCGTAATCTATGATGACAGATTGTTATGTGACCATGACGTTTATTTTTCATGAGAATGTCTGAGTTCGATGAGTTGATCGAGTTAATGTAACTCGGTCCTTGAAGGAATGAAGTAATTCTCTTAACATATGTAATAAAATTGCTTTTTTTAATGTACATATATAATGTGTACGTATGTAATGTTAGATTTTTATTCTTGAATTGATTGGTCTAAAAAGTTTGAGATAAGAAATAACCTTATCGTTATGTGATACATATTAAAGGTTTATCTAATAGAATTATTAAAAAATGTTATTCATTGTATTTAGATTTGGGAACGACTGTATTACAAAGATGTATAATTAAGATATTATTACAACTATATATTAAGGCAAGCCTTTTTTTTTTTTTTATAAAATAGTAGCAACTAAAATAGCGAGGAAAAGAGAAAAATAAAGACTTGATTTGAATTGACCAAGAGACAACGCAGCAGATATAGGAGAAGGTGTTGATGTTGATTTTCCGGTTGACGTTGAGTTTGAGTTTGAGATCGTACCCGATGGCGCGCTAGGGTTTGTTTGTGTGGGAGATACTACGACGGGACCTTGTGGATTGCTAGTAGGGTTAGAATAATATTGAGAAATACAATTACTGGTGCATTTTTTGTACGCTTCGGAGTCGTTGGCGCTGCCTATAAACAATTGAATTTATTAAAATTATAGAAATTAGAAATAAGCTAAAAAAAAAAAAAAGGAAATAAAATAGATCTTAGGATAATTTATTTACTTTGACAACCAGCTACACAGGCATTGGTCGCGTTAGCATCTTGATTTGAAGGGTTAGGAACTTGTGCGCATATGGCACGACAATTAATATCTTCAGGGGCGCAATGATGATTTATAATACATTGTGCAATTGAATCTTTAAATAAGACGGTCCGTTAGTAACTTGTTAGAAATTCAGAACATTCAAAACATCCAAAATATTCATGTCCTAACCAGTGGCACTCGCAGGACTTGCTGCGGTAGGACTTTGTGCACTTGTGAGTGCCGAGAAGAAAATAAGTGAAATAATTATGGTAGAGAAAATTTTTTTCATTTTGATTTTTTTTGAGAATGTATGCGCGGATTCGTGTGAAAATATATATCTGAAAAAAAAATATATATATAACGAATTTATTAAAAAAAAATCAATATGAAATGTGTTCAAAAGATTCTCATGATTAGAAAAAAAAATTATTGTTCTTACATAAGACGATCTTTTTATATGAAATTTATATGAAAATAGATGATACTATTTTTAAGCAACTTCGTGTTGTGCATACCAATACTATTTATTCGTTTTTTATGGGTTTAAAATAAAAAAATATTTATCAGACCCGAATTTATCGTGTCATTATATATGCAAAATAAACTAAAGGTTAATTGATGTACGCACCTGCCATATACAAACCATACTGACTATCATATATATATATATATACATTTTATAAATTCCTAATTGTAAATTTACTGCATGAGAACTATCTTTTTGCCCTTTTTGCCTTTTTTCATTTTGAAAGTAATATATATTTAACACTCGAAACAGTAGTTGTAATTCCACGAATGATTATATGTACCAATAAAAAAAAATAGTCATATTGTGTATTTTATTTTTAGTATTTTTTAAGTCAAGATCGGATATCGATATATATTTACTATGACGCAATCAATCGGGCGTCACTGAAACAAACTTTCTAGAAACGTGCGTGTGATCGGTTATCAATAAATCTAATGTGTGTTGAATTCATGACTCTGTTTGATAAAGTTAAAAATGGGCGTTACACGGTATGCGATTCGTTGTCAAAAAAAAAACACAGTGATGTTAATTTTTCTAACTACTTTTTGATTCTCTAGCGTTTTACTCCTTAAACTTCTCAAAGATATTACTATCGCACAGTATTTTTTGACTTTTCATGAACGAATAACTAGCCAATTTTCCAATCGACAATCTAAAGCTTGGCATATTTCAACAAAATTATTTCGTGATAATAAAAATGCAGCTGTCGGAACACCAAAACTTATTCATTCTTTAGTATTTAGTAACGATGTCGGTAAAGTTTATTGTCTTGCTGATGATGTGATGATTGAAGCTGAACATGAGTTGGAGACTATTTTATCAAAATTGAAAAATTTATGGTCTAATAAAAAGAGCGTAAATTTTGAGGTTTGTTTTCGTGTAAATTTTCTTTTTAAATATATCTTTCAAGTCCTCCTTTATATCATGCCTTTTTTTTTGTGATTTCGATTCATGAACTTTACATTCATTTCAAAAGGGATTTTCTTACAATATCGGTGACTTTATAGTTCGAACTATTGATGTCAAGCTTAAAGGAATACTCGTTGAAGTAATTCATCATTTAAATCATTTAAATTTTAGTTAATTATTTCGCTAAATGTTAGTATTAATTCTTTATTAGGTTGAATATCTTCCCACAACACACCCATATGCCGCTTCCCCAATTCTATCCGATTTTATTGATTTAATCATTCCTAAGGATGCGGAGATTGTACCATGGGATCAGCAAGGTGATAATTCTTATACGAAAGTTGGTTTATCTGAAGAAACATTTACAAGAATTCATACTGCGTATCAATATATGATGCTCATTAAATCGGAAAACTTGTTATAAATTATCATGTCTCATTATGTATTCATTTATTTTATTTATTTTTTTATTATTATTTTACAATAATAAATATTCTGTTTATCTCTTATTAACATTACCAATTAACCCACAATGGTCTGAAACGTTCTGTTGTACTTCTAAAACCTTCAAATTGATGTAAGCAATCACTTTCTGCTCTCTTTTGTAGTGCTTCAGGCATCCACTCGTTGATTTTTTTTATCCTTGCCTCATGATTTGGATGTGTACTTAAAAATTGTGGTGGTGCTGCTTTTTCAACCTTACTCATTCTTTTCCACATCTTTATCGCTTCTTCCGGATTATAACAAGCCTGAGCCATTAAAAGGAGGCCAATATAATCTGCCTCACTTTCGCATTTACGCGAAAATGGCATCCTGAATTATATTATTATTATTATTATTATAGTTGTTCAATTCATGTTTCGTTATGATTAAAAATAACTTACATTATGCCAAGTTCTATAAAAAGGTTGCCAAGAAGACCAGGATCAATGAATAAACTAAGAAAAATTTGGAATAGTATTATAATTTTGATAAAAGAAAGTTTTTCAGCGCTATGACGTGCGACTTGATGTGCGATCTTCGTAACATATTTTTCTTTGATTAATAATATTTTATATATAATAATCATAATATTCTGCTTCAATTTTTAAACTGACCTCATGTCCAAGAACTGCTGCCAAACCATGTTGATTTTCAACGATCGGTAATATCCCCGTAAAAACAAAGATTTTACCACCAGGTAATACGAATGCATTTTTTTCTGGTGAATCAATAACATGAACTTCCCACTTCAAATCTTAAATATATATTTAGAATCTATGTGTTTTTTTTTATTATAAATAAAAATATTAAATTTATAAACAAACCTTCCATTCCACTAACTCTTATAATTTGTTGAGCAACAGCTCTTACAAATCTTGTGCGATGATCCCAACTTGGCAAAATGTTATGGTGATACCGCCTCATTATTTCCGAGTATGCTTGCTGTGCTAATTTTGCTTCTTGCTTAGGGGTTACATCCATAAATCGTCGCCGATTACTTATTGGCACGACTTCTAAATGGTTTACATAATATACCGTAAGAAGAAACCCTGCTCCACCAGTATATATCCAAAATGTTCTTTTTTTATAGAAAGGTGGAACTCTTTTAATCCGCCTATATTGCGGATATGGTGGGAGCTGAGGTGTACGCGGGGGTATTTGTGAATGATCATTGAATAATGTTGGAATTCTTGTTCTATAGTTGTTGGGTGAAAACTTTTCAGAGTAGTGACGAAAGTTGAAACCTAAAAGTGGCGAAAGACGAAAGACAAAACCCTGACGAAACCCCAAATCCCTCTGATTAAAAACGAATCTTAAAATCGGAAATGAAGTAGGGCGAAACCTGGTGAAACCTTCATGAATGTTAAACCCAAACGAGATTTGAGATCAAAACGAGACTAATCTAATAATTAGTATACCATTTCCATAACAAGTTCTTACCTTTCATAGATTTCTTCACTATTTATTTTATAGTTTTATCACCCTTTTTTTCTTTAATATGGTTATTTTAGACGCTTGTTTGTCTCGAAAAATTTAATGATTTAAAAGTTGTAATAATCGAACTTCGAACTTTATACCTACAGCAAACGTCAAATGATATCATCTAGTGGTCAAGGATGTTATACAGATTAATTTTACATTACAAAATTTTACATAGTAAGGTTACGCAAAATTACAAACAGGAAAACCGCGAAACTTTAAGTACTCGATCTTTACACGCCCGATTTGTCACATCTAAACTTTTGTCATATGATTTTCATAAATTACACAAATCGACGAAATTACATTTTTAAAAAATTTTACCTAAAAGCTTAGTTAAAATATATTAAGTTTCCTAAGACAAAATTATTGAAGTTTCTACGAGCTAAAAGGTATCAAAAATATAAGGAACTACTTATATAATAACATACTTTTGAACATAAACCATTATTTTGTCATTTTCGCCGCATTCTTTTCAGGTTTGCAAAATCACGGTTTAAAAAGTACAAAAGCTTTCGGCAAAATCAAACTTTGAAAGATTAGTACATTATTAAAATAATATAGAGCACCCATTAATTCATATACACTGGCAATCATAATAATGCAACAAAAAATTTTAGTTAGATCGTTTTATCTCACAATTCTGAGCGTATTCATTAAATTTTTATTGTGTTGCATTATTTTTGCTCATTTTTAACAAGAGCAGATCTCGCATAAGTTGTGTTACATAAATACATATAAAAATTTAAGTTTCATTATTGATTCTGCATCTTGTGTAATATTAGAATTGATTACTTTTATATATATATATATATATATTTTTTTTTTAAGTTAAAGTTCTTGCTTTTGGGGATTGATGTTTTTATTTAAGTATTTGGACATGGGTATCTTCAGGGGTTCCCTTACATTGGAGTTTACAACTAGTCACATGTGCACTTTTGGTTCCTAATTTTTTTTTTTTTTTAATATTAAAGATGAGTACTTGTGACCTAGGTTTTTATTGATAATAAGTTTTAATTTTATGATTGTATTATTACAACAGTCACAGGTAGGGTTCTTATAAACTGAACTGAACTGAACTTTTATCAAGTTCAAGTTCAGTTCAAAAATTGAACTGAACTGATCTGAATATTTTTAAAAATTAAAGTTTAGTTCAGTTCAATTTTTGAACTTTTTAAATTAGTTCAGTTCAGTTCAGGTTTAGTTTAAAGTTCATGAACATGTTTAGTTTAGTTCAATATATTTTTATATAAATAATAAAATAATTTAGAATATTAAGTTAGAATTTATTAGTAAAATTTTTTTTTTTTTTTTTTTTTTTTTTAAACTTAAGCAGTCATGTTAATATTTTATTAAGATTCTTGAAATTATTTCTGCAATTACATAGATTTATCTAACAACTAAGTTTAGTATTACCCAGTCACCCATAGAGTATCTAAGTGCAACCTGCTGCATTACTTTAAACAGAAGTAGGCTACTTGTCTAACTACTTAAAGTCTATAGTAAAAGGGTTTTCTCCCTTTCACAACAAGTCTCAACATTGTTTTTCTAGTTTTTTTATAATTCTATTCTTTTTCTCTTTCACTTGTTTCTTTTTTTCTTCAATCTTTTGCTGATTTGCTTTTTTTTTCTTTTTTGGATTCTTCTTTCTTATTTTCTTTTTCTTTATTTTGGTTGTTATGTCTTCTTTCTTCTCCTATTCATTAATCTTTTTATACAGTATTCTTCAAACTTGTTCGTAAAATATATCTCATGCTGTCTTTGTTACTGTCTTAATAAACTATTGTCTTGCTTTTGTATTTAGGAGTTGTATTAGTCTGTTTTGTATCTTTTCTAGGATTAAGTCTTTAATTAAAGCTTTTCTTATTTCTATTTCTTTTACTTTACTTTTTCTAAAAAGTGTTATATATAGCATATATAGTAAAATGTGAGTTTTTTCTTCTTCCTTTAACCCTTTTCAGGCTGTTGCAATAGTTACTTTTTGAATATGTTTTCAAAGGTTTTGTTGTCCTTTGCATGATACTAGATGTGATTATGTTTCTTTAATTTTATTTGACAAACTTGGCATTCTGTTGTTGTGTATATATCTGGCCTTCTTCTATTAAGTTCTTTTAGTATTAAAAGTTTATCTATCATACACTTTATAAATGTACATCTTCTTATACTACTTCTTCTTGTTATGCAATATACTCCTTTAGTTATTTTTAGTCTCTTCCAAAATTGCATCCAGTTATGAATTATGATTTCTGTTTTCAATTTTAACTTTCTGATTGCATTTGTTTTTTTTTTTTTGTTTTTTTTTTTTTTTAATCTTAAGCAGTTACACTAGTACTTTATTAAGATTTTTGAAACTATATATATATACAATTACATAGAATTTTCCAATGTCTAAGTCTAGCATTACTTGGCCACCTTTATGATACCTAAGTGCAATTTGCTACACTATTTTAGTTAAAGATAAACTGCTTGTCTAACTACTTAAAGCCATATCAGAAGGGCCTTTTTCTTTCTGTAATAAGCATATTGATTGTCTTCAAAGATTCTTTCTTTATTTAGTTCACTTTCTCTATTTTCCTTTTCTTTTCTTCTTCTCTTGTTTGTTAATTTTTCCTCATCTCTTTATTTATTTTTCTTTTTGTACAAACACCTTTCTTTAACTTGTTTGTTATATTATTCTTCTTTTTCCAGTCTTGTGTTTTCTCATATCAGACTCTTCATACTTGGTCGTAAAAGGTGTTCCACACTGTTCTTGTTGCTATATTCATGCATTTCTGTGTTGTCTGCCTACTTAAGAGTCATTTGAGTTTCTTTTTTACTTTTACCTTCATAAGTCCTTTTATCAGCACTTCTCTATTTTCGATTTCTTTAGCTTCTGATTTTCCAAATAGCATTTCATACAGGACTTATGATGAAATTTTGTTCTTTTCTTCTTCTTTGAGCCCATTCCATGCTGCTACTATTGCAACTTTTTGAATTTGCTTTCACAGACTTTTTTGTTCTCTACAGCTAGCCAGATATGTTTGTGTTTCTTTTTCTTTAACTTGGCACATCTGGCACTCTGCTGTTGTATATACTTCTGGTCTTCTTCTGTTTAACTCTTTAAGTGTTGGCAGTTTGTTTGTTATATACTTGATTGCTGTAGTTCTTCTTGTGCTGAGTTTTCTTAATATACAGTGAACTCCTCTTGTTCTGTTCATTTTTTTTCAAAAACTTGTCTAATTATGTAATGTATTTTCCATTTTTGGCTCTAATGCTTTTATTGGATTTGTTTCTTTCCAACTGGCTCCAATTCTGATATTCACTATTATTTTACATAAAAGTCTTGCTAGTATATTGATTTTCTTATTTTTTCACTCTAAATAGTACTCTATTCTATTACATATAACATTTTCTGCATATATTAAATTTCTACAAGTTGCTTCTTTGTTTGCAAGAGAATCTGCTCTGTTATTCTATTTATTTTGACTATAGCTTTTAACTTTAACTATTTCTGTCTTTATGTTTTTACTTTTGATAAGACCTACAATGTTCATTATTCACATTGTTTTTTTTCTCTTTATAATACTTCTGTCTTTTATGTTTTGTATTGCTCTGTTAATGTTTCTTAATACTGTGATGCTATCAGTATAAATCTCTATGTTTTTTTCTTCTGGAATTGTTAAAATTGCTACCCATATTGCTGCTAATTCTGCTATTATTACTGAAGGTTAACCCTCGAGTCCAAATGCAGTCTTCTTCTCTGGCCAGTCTTCTTTATCATCTATTTGTATCCAGCCAATACCCATCTTTTCTATATTGTTTTCTTTTCTTTTTTTATATAGTGCCTTATTAGTGTAGACAGTGTATTTTTCTTTGTCCCTTCTTTTGTTCTGCATTAGGATTTCTGTTAGCTGATCTGTAATTATACTGTTTAATTCTTGTTTCTTGATTAGTTCTATTTTTAATTCTTCTATTGACTTTAATTCTGATAATTCCATTTCATTCTTTTCTATTCTTCAATTCTTCTGTTTTTTAATAGTTGCTCTAATGTTGCATTTATTCTGTTGTTTGTTTTTTTTATTAGTAACTCTATAACCATCTTCATGTTTTGGTCTCATCTTATCTATTTCTCACATTTATCTGTCATTTGTTCTAGTCTGTTTTCACAACCTTTGCATAAACTTATTTCTGTATGTGTCTTTCCTTCTTCTTTATGCATTAGCCAATGCTCTGCTAACACTTTTTCTTTCTTTTTCTTAACTATTTTGCTGAGTTGCTAGTTGTGTTTTGGTCTATATATAATCTATTCTTTTTTTTTCGGTCTTCTGATATCTTTGTCTATTTAATCTTAATGTCTGTGTATTATAGCTGTTTATTTTGTACTGGTCTTGTATTTCTTTGCTTTCTTGTGTTTTTAGCAATTTCCTCTTTATTTCGCTAAACCATTTGGCTTTCTTTCTCTTATATGATAGACCTTAAAGACTCTTGAGCTATCTTCATGTAATTAAGCTGTTACCTTTTGTGTCTATTAGCTGATTCACATACAATAATCTCCAATCATTTATTATGCTACTACTTGCTATCTGCATTTTCATTTCTAGCATGTCTTTTATTTGTCTATCATGTCCATATACTTTTCATAACCATTTTGCTGCTTTGATGTTTATTCCTATTTCTTTTGCTTTAGCTATTGTTTGACATGCTAGATTATTCTTTCAGAACTTTATAACTTTTGGTTTATTTTCGTTATGCCAGATGTCTTTTGTTAGGCCTGCTTTCTGACATCCTTGAGCTATTCTAAGTCTTGTTAGTTTACTTAGACTATCTTGTTTGTTAAGTTTTGAGAAAATGCTACTAATTTGCTTAGTCAATATTTTTTGGCTTAGCAATTCACAATTGCCTAGGTCCTTGTGTTTAATTGTGCAATTGCTTGATGTTTTCATTATGTTGTATTTATGTTTGGCTAAGC